TGCCTGATGGTGAATGGGGAATCAGGGTTAGGTAGCGGGGGATGCAGACAGCGCCAGGCCAAGGCCCCCATCCCGCTGGTTGCCTCACACAAAGACAGCAACCTGCGGCGGGGGTGGGGCCGGTGAGCAGGTGGGAATAGCTGACCTCTCGGTCCCTTCCCCTGGCAGTCAGGCACCAATCACCTGATGGCAAATGGGGAACTGGGGGTGGGTGGCAGCGGGGGGCAGCGTCGGCTGCAGGCAGCCGGGGAAAGTGGCCCTGGTCTCAGGTAGGCCTAGGGACCGTACCCACACACAAATTTCGTGCACTGGCCTCTAGTCATTAGATAATGCTGGGTCTACACACAGAGACAGAGACACGTGGCACAACAGGAGGATCTTAATTACCACTTATTAAATACATAGATGAGTATGGGATTGTTAGCATGTTTGGCTAAGTCCAAGCATGTTCTAACCGGTAGGGAGAAAAGCCTGGAAGAAAGCCCTTAGGCAACCACAAAGGTAAGTGACTTCACATAGAAACTCTTGGCCAAACAACTTTGCTAAGGGAGACAGTACCTCACCTGTGTCGCAGAATACTGATGGTACTCAAATAGCCATTAAATTAATGGCCACCACAGCAATGATAGGATAGCTGATGATGCTATTCCACAATTCTGAAAAAACCCTGTTAGCCAAATGAAACATGTCTTGAAAGAACTAGAGCATAACAATTGTTACACCAACAGAAAAGTGGTATTTTGAGAGCAATTATATGGATTATTATCTATATACCACAGGCATTTGAATGATGATTAGGTTAAATCTGTGTTTTAGGAGTTGAAGAGGATACATGCCTGGATAGGGGTTCACTACTACCAGGTTTACTGACTGGGAAAAGCAAACTGAATTACCTATACTCTAGCTATTCCTGGCAATCTTTTCATTGCATTAGTAAGAATTAATTTTCCACTTTCCTGCTCTACCAAAAGAGCTTCCAGTTTCTAAGATTAAAAATTGAACTTCTAAGATTAATAGCCTGAGATAAAAAGGTACCTGTGTGGTCCAACACGGTATTTAAGCCACAAGAAGAGTGCCAGCTGGCCCCATTACCTTCAGGCCATGTGCCAGAATGCTGCTCAACTACAGATATACTTGATCAGAACAGGGCTTTATTACAGGTCCATTCAGGGCTGAAACTCCAGGTTATGCCAGGCAAATGTATGCAACTCACTTGACCTTGCTCTCAAATTCTTTGGGAGCTCAACTGGGAGAGGCCACGCTGCCACCGTCTGAACTAGCATGTCCCAACATGAAGGTGTCAGCTGTGATAAATGTTTAAAAGAAAATTTTCAAGGCTGCAGATATGTGTTTTAATTTGCTACAATGACAACCTTTGTGTCTTGCTATGAAAGTGGTGTAACAACAATGAATACAACAGACCACCCAATGCAGTCCAAACTAACAAAGGTAGGTTTTGGTTTGTACTATGGTGGGGAAGCTTTCTCTATAGAGCAGCCACAGCCTTACCTGTCTCTATTATGGGAAAATGAGCTCTATGGAACATGCAGAAGTGATTTGTCCTGTATGTGCAGCATTACCTGGAGGCGGTCCTACTCATGTCACAGATGACTCTGCAGCTCATCTTACACTTGAGCACAGAGCCCCTAGAGGTTTAGATGAATCGAGGGGTGTTCCACATGTACGCAAAATATTTCCCCCTGGCTGAGGATTAGGAAGTCCTCATGCTCATAGATCAAACACGCACTTATTAGTATGAACTTTTTCTTCTCAGAGTTCATATTCTCCAGCAATAGGGAAGCCATGCGTCCTGTAGCTGAGCTTTTCTCTCAGTTATCAGGAATGAGACATTCTGCAAGAGGACAGTTTAATTCTTCCAGACCTTCTGCTGCTCAGTTAGAACAAATGCAGCTGCAGCTGCAGCTAGAAAAGCAGCA